CAATCAGCAGGAAGACTACAAAAAACAGACCCATCATCCCCTGCCCCCCAGGCCCTCCGTTCCTTCCCCCAAACCAGGATGCCAATTCTAAGCAAGCGGAGGCAAAAGGCTGTGGCCATCCGATCTCAGCCAAAGAGGGCTCAGAGTGGAGAAACCCGTAGCGTTGCATTTCCTGCAAGGGGCTGCAATTTGCAGCCAAAGTGGAAGACAGGCCCTGAGGGGGAGGGGGAGGAAGGAGGCAAAGGGCTTTTTTAAAAGGTAAAAAGAAAAAAAAAAGAAAAGGTTCATAAAAAAATTAAAAAAGCCTACAGCACCCGGTATTCCCAGGCGGTCTCCCATCCAAGTACTAACCAGGCCTGACCCTGCTTAGCTTCCGAGATCAGACGAGATCGGGCGTGTTCAGGGTAGTATGGCCGTAGACGGTAATCGACGTCTTTGCTGCTGCTTTTAAGCTGCCTCTCTGCACTCGACTTCCCAATGCTCTGCAGAGCGATCAGCAGGACTACAAACGGACCCATCATCCCCTGCCCCCAAGCCTTCCATTCCTTCCCCAAACCAGGACGCCAATTCTAAGCACAAGCGGAGGCAAAAGGCTGTGGCCATCCGATCTCAGCCAAAGAGGGCTCGGAGTGGGGAAAACGTAGCGTTGCATTTTTCCTGTAAGGGGCTGCAATTTGTTAGCAAAAGTGGAAGACAGGCTGGGCCGGGAAGCAAGGAGGGAAAGGGCTTTTTTTTTTTAAAAAAAGGTAAAAAAACAAAACAAAATAAAAGGTTGGAAAAGCCTACAACACCCGGTATTCCCAGGCGGAATCCCATCCAAGTACTAACCAGGCCTGACCCTGCTTAGCTTCCGAGATCAGGCGCGTTCAGGGTAGCCTTAGACAGTAAAAGAAGTCTTCGTTGCTGTTTTTAAGGCGCTCACCTTCCCAATACTCTGCAGAGTGATTAGCAAGACTACAAACGAACCCATCATCCCCTGCCTCCAGGCCCTCAATCCCCCTTGCTGCTCCTGCTGCTTTTCTACGCTGCCCTGTAAAGCCAGGACTCCATTCTAAGCAAGCGGAGACAACATTAATATAAATATATACCGATATATGTGTGTGTGTGTGCGTATGGTGCAGGTATATATTATGTATGGATGGATGTATATAGCATGTGTATATGTGAGTGTGTGTGAGTGTGTGTATGTGTTTGGGAAGATACGCACTGTCTCTTGAGGCCAGGCTATAGAATTTCCTTTTTAATGTGGGCCAGTGTGCTCACAGTAAAGATCGGGGGGAAAAAAGACAGGAAAAGTTAAATTACCTTAAATATTTTAAATATCAATCTAAGCCAAGTGGGGAAAACGTAGCGTTGCATTTCCTGCAAGGGGCTGCAATTTGCAGCCAAAGTGGAAGACAGGCTGGGAAAGCAAGGAGGCAAAAGGCTTTTTAAAAAAGGTAAAAAGAAAAAAAATAAAAGGTAAAAAAAAAAAAAAAGCCTACAGCACCCGGTATTCCCAGGCGGTCTCCCATCCAAGTACTAACCAGGCCTGACCCTGCTTAGCTTCCGAGATCAGACGAGATCGGGCGCGTTCAGGGTAGTATGGCCGTAGACGAAATACTTCTTTCTTGCTGCTCCTTTTAAGCTGCTTCTCGACTTAAATGGACGCAACAATAATACCAATTGGTTTTCACTGAATCTACAGTTTTAACAGAGGAATCCACCCCCAAATGGCCCATGGAAACGATTAAAAAAAAAAATCTCTTCTGACTAGGCCAGGAGTCCCCAAATTTGCCAACTTGAAGACTTGTGGACTTCAACCCCCAGAGTTCCTCAGCCAATTGTAAATTTGATAATGGCTGCTAGATTAGTGAATGGCTAAATATTGGGGAGGAAATTGGGATATTCAAAGAAAGGACTGGTATAATGAAATTTGGTGTATGGCAACAATTGATAAATTAACAACAGAAATTAAATTTTTAAAAAGGGATGATTAAAGCAAACAATTTTAATAAAATATTGGGGGAAGTGTTGGGGGAAGGCAATGAGAATAAACCTACTCAAGAATATATGTCATTTTGGAGGGGATAAGGGCATAATTGGAATATATAGTACATTTTTTAATTGTTATAGAAGAAGAAATATAAGGGAAAAATGGTCTCTGGGGGAGGTGGGGTGCACTGCAATATTTGTATTTTTCTTCTTTTTCTTTTTGTATTTAGATGTATATGTACTATGTATTATTTGTATTTAAAATAAAAATATTAATTTTTAAAAAATCAAATCAATTTAATTTATCAATTAATAAAAATGTAATTAACTTAATGTAAGAAGAAACCTAAATCAATTCTTTTGGTTATACTATTAGTTACTGTTATTATACCATTATTATTGCTATTAGTTAGTATGTTGAGATTTATTACTAACCAGTGGTGGGATTCAAAAAAATTAACTAATGGTTCTGTGGGAGCAGCTTGGTGGGTGTGGAAAGGCTTGGTGGGCATAGCTTGGTGGCCATGGCAGGGGAAGGACACTGTAAAATCCCCATTCCCTTCCCACCCCACTAACCTGCTTTCCAGCTCCGTTCTCCTGTGCAGGGCAACAAAAGAAGAGCCAGCCGATCAGCTGGGACTCGGGAGGCAGAGAAGAAATGGGGGCAGGGCCAGTCAGAGGTGGTATTTGCCAGTTCTCCAAACCAGCGGTTGTCAACCGGTGGGCCACCGCCCACTGGTGGGCCGTGTGAAAATTTTGGTGGGCCGCAGAGAAATCTCACCCCCAGAGCACCCCCACAAAGCAATTAATCTAAGCTGTGCAGAAACACAAGGCTGTGCCGCCCACATGGCCCGCGGGAACCCTCCCCGCCCACTCACTCCTTACCTGGTAGACTTGCCTGCTAAATTGCTATTTTTCCTTTTTCCGACCATCATCTGTACTGCTGTGCCGGGAGATTTAGATTAGCTAGGAAGCAGGAAATGGTTGGATTTCCTGCTTTCTAGCTAGTCTTTAGATCTTCAGCTAAGCACAGCCGAACCTCCCTTAGGACTGAAAGTTTGCTTGCAAGCAAATTCAGTGCAGACTCACGGCAAGCAAATTTGAGAGACTGAGCTAGCCGATGGCAGATAGATAGATCACTGAACGATTCTGTGAGCAACTCAATCTGCCTGCTTTGCCTGATTTGGGGTAAAAGTTGCTTTTTTAAAAAAATAAAAAATTCAATATTTACATGCATGGTGTGTTGTGAGTTAATTTTGTGAGTTTGCTTGCAAGCAAATTTTATGTGACAGACTGAGCTAGCCAATGGCAGACAGACAGATCTCTGAATGTGATTCTGTGAGCAACTCAATCTGCCTGCCTGCATTGCCTGATTTTGGGTAAAAGTTGCTCTTTTTTTAAATAAAAAATTCAATATTTATATAAATATGTATAATATTTACATACAAGCCATGTCCAGCCAGTCACATGACCACCAAGCCACACCTACAAATCAGGCCACACCCACAGAACTAGTTAGTGGTCCCTGGGATCTAAAATTATGAGTTTGGTGGTCCCTGAGGTCCAAAAGGTTGGTGACCCCTTCTCTAAGCTACTCAAAATTTCCGCTACCAGTTCTCCAGAACTGGTCAGAACCTACTGAATACCACTTCTGTTACCAACATATGTTGCTTGTGTTTTATTTGTAAGTAATGCTCTGCCAATCCAGTGTTATTCAAAAATGTTGGTGAATGTTTATGAATGTTATTCAAAAATGTTTACAAAGAAACTTTTAAAAATAATTTTTAAAAAAATCAAATCAAAACCCTCAAGAAGTCAGGTGGCCCGGGAAAACGTGCCTGGATCAGCACAAGAAGAGAAACGTGCAAGATTTTGGGAGAAGGTGGTGGTGGGGTCCCTTCAGGCGTATGCATCACCCTGGATCAACCTCAGCTGCCTTAAGGCAATCCAGAAACCCTTGAGATCAATCAAACGCGGCGCTCTCCTAGCTGGGACACGCAATGTCGTGACGACGGGCCGATTCCAACCCGGTTTGGCAGCTCTCCCAAACGTCAGTCAACCTGGGCTCAGTTTAGGGAGAGGCTGCTCCATGAACACAGGCAGGGTGCCCTTCCCTCCGTTAGCGCCTCTAGTTGGATCCTGGGAATCGAGGCGTGAGCCAGAAAACAGGATTTGGGAAATTTACATCCACGTATTTCCAACCCAAAAGAGGAGTGGAGTCTTGGTCTCTTGGAGAGCTAACTATGGGTTCCCTCGCTAGGGTAGGCTGGGAAGGTTGGTTCTGAATATGATTCCCACCAAATTACGCAATTATAAAAGCATAATGTTGTTTCTCTATCTTGGCAACTTTTAAGACGGATGGACTTCAGCTCCCAGAATTCATCCAGAGTTCTAGCAACTTTGGCCACGTCAGGTCTTTTAAAGAAAGCATTTGTAGAAGAAACAGCTGGAAGGGACAATGGGCCAGACCTTGGTTTGAATACTCCTGGAAAAGCCCAATTCTGTGGTCCGAATAGTCCAGAGGAACCCCTGTCCCGCAGTAAAATTACCCGTCATGCAACACAATTTCTTCAGATTCTGATTTTAAGCCATCTTATACCTCTCTGTGAGTCAGGGGTCTATAGAAAGTTGTTAAATAAATTTAAGGAGCCAGTTTGGTCTAGTGGTTATGGCATCAGGTTAAAAACTAAGAGACAGGAAGAGTTCCAGTTCTCACTTAGGCATGAAAGCCAGGTGGGTGACTTTGAGCCAATCACCAGGAGACTATGAGTTTTAGTCCC